AAAAGGTTTCTCTGTAATCTTCCCCATTATCTGAATTGAAATTGATAGCTTTTTTTTTTCTTTTTTTTATAATTTTTGGAATTCAGGTACATAATTAGATGAGGAAGAATGTTTAGCCAACGTCTCCCCAAGTTTATTTTTGCAATATCTGATTTATTGGTCAATAATTGGTTCCCATCTATCAGATGGTGAATACTAGATTTAGTACCCTTACCCTTGATTTTTTGGATCATATTCCACACCTTTGATATAGGTGTGCGCGAATTAAATTTTGACGCCAAGATTGGCGTTTGCTTTGTTTAACGTACGTCGTGCTTTGGCGTTTAAAATTTTAAATTTGTCCAAATTGTTGACCATAGGATGGCGACGGAAATAGTGCTCGGCTTTCTTCCGTGCCTTCCTAGCCTGTTTGCAATCATTGTTAAACCATGGTTTTCGTACATGAGGAATTGCAGAGAACTTTGGGATACACTCGTCAGCTATGTTATTTAGTTCATGTGAAAACCATTTTATGGCATGAGGAATGTCATTCGAAAGTTTTAGTTTGTTAGCACAAAGACTTTCATATAAAGGCCAGTTGGCCGTTTCAAAATTCCATCTTGATGGAGGGACATCGGTTGGATTCACGGGTTTTAGTATTGCTGGGAAATGGTCACTTCCACAGAAGTCGTCATGGACTGACCATTCAAATTCACTCAATAGGTTGGAGTCAGTTATTGACAAATCAAGAGCTGAATATGTTCGTGTGCCAGGATGTAAATAAGTATTTGAACCGTCATTATGAATGCATAAATCGTTGTTTGAAATAAAATCCTCCATTAATTTACCTTTGGTGTTTGTATTATTGCCACCCCAGTGTGGGTTGTGGCCCATGATTATACAGGGTTTAGGTAGTTGATCGTAAAGAGTTGGCAGATCGCTTAGTTGAACAGCTGATGATGGCGGAATGTATAGAGAGCACAAAGTGAATGCAAAGTGCAACGTACGTCGCACAGCAAACGGCTTGGAGATTTGTTGTGAATGTAACTGGGCTATGGATAACATTTTGCCTCACCAGGATTGATGATCCACCAGTAGCTCTGTCACCCGAGGGAGAAAAAGAGTGATAAGCATTGAATTGACGTAGGTCAAAATTATCTGTCTGTTTCAGATAAGTTTCTTGTATGGAGAGAGCTGACGGTTGAAAATCTTGGATTAATAACTGTAAATCATTCAAATTATTCCGAAGTCCTCTACAATTCCATTCTATTATTGGTGAGGACATTATGTACTCGGAGGATAAACAGGAGATCTACCCCTCACCTTCCTTGAAGGCGACAAGCTATGGGTCCTGCCATAGCTTTGGTCGGACACGCCCATGTGCTCAAGGGATCCAAACTTATTAAAAATTTGGATATGGTTATTCGCTCCTTTTGGTGTTCTTCCTCTATGCTTCGTTTTGGACGTTTCGCTGTTTTGTTTTGATTTGCAGTTGGTTTGACAGTTGGTTCTGGGATAGTTGACCGTTTTTGAGACGTATCTGTCTCAGGTGATGTCTTTGATTGAGATATACTTTTCGATGAGGCTGTTGTTTGTGAACTGCAGGTCACTTGTGAAGGCCTTGACTGAGCTTAAGCAGATAGCAAGGTAGGTGCAGAAGTCCTTGCCCGTGTATAGTCTGTCTGACAATCTACATAATGACAAGAAATATGTTTTGGCTTAGAGGCTTGAATAGATGCAGAAACTGCGTTAGAATATGTTGGACCTGATTGTTCTTGTGAAAGAACAGTTTTCTTTGCCTGAAAATGGTATATTACGCTGATGCTTTAATTGAGAAATTTTGAATTGAAGCTTCCAAGTAGGACAATCCTTTGAAGAAGATGGGTGATTGCCAGAACCATTGACACAGGTAGGAGAATTGTTACAAAGATCTGTCTTCACACTTTCCAGCACATTTGTTACATGCAGCCGGGTTATGTGTCAACAAGGACGATGCCTCCTATCTGTGGGTTTTCAACAGACGGCACTAAGGATACTAGGAGGGTATACTCAAGCAGGATGAATATCTTGAAAAGATATGTCCTACCAGCTTGGCCCATGAACCACCGCCTTCTGGGCATAGGAGTCTAGGCAATTTGATAAATAAATACTTTGTGATTAGAGCAAATATGTTTTTTATAAGTTTTTCTTAAGCCAAGACCAAAATATACATTTCTGAAAAATCAAACTAGTGCAAAGATTACTTACCATGCACTGGGTTTGGCGTGACCAGCCGATTGATTGAACCGGGCCCATTCAACACCTGGATGTCCCTTTCTCTGCACTCCTCCCTCGTAACAAACAGTGAACTGTTTCAATATTTTAATGATAGATTGTTAAACAACTTTTTTATTTTTAGGACAAAATTTTTGCAAAAACCTCACAGAGTGGGTATGATGTTTTGATTATGATCAGCGTTTCATTGAGTATTTTATGTTTATTAGTTTTCGAGTTAGATTGCAATTCATCGGTCCGCTTTTGAGCCAAACGGACCAGTCCGTTTGAGTCAGAAACGGACCGATGAATTGCACATTTGATCATTGTACAAACTTGCCACATAAATATAAATAGTACACATGTGTATCATTTACTAATACCCAACAGCTTTCTCATATTTGAAAATTTTCCGGACTCCACCAAAATAGTTGTTTAAGAAACTATCATCATTGAAAACGCAAAAGTTGTAATCTGTCGCGGCGGGGTGAAACCGCAGAAACGGAACAGCCCGTCATGGCGGGGGACATCTCAAAATCTATTCCGGGAGACCTGTCGGTTCCTCGTCCGTCATAGTGTCATAGTCACGCCTGAAAGGGATGACAAGTGGTGCAACAGTTGCCTGTTGTAAGCCATCCCGAGACCAGGGATGGTACAATGATAACATTTGCAATTCATCGGTCCGTTACTGACTCAAACGGACTGTATATCTTCTCATGCGCTATATCTAGCACCAAAACCAGCTAGAGAGCTTAATGGCGAAAAATATAAATATGAAAAAACAAATAAATATGTTACTTTCACCGATTGTGTTGTGTAATACTTATTTCATGAAATTTCAATTTTAGATCATCTCGTGCTCATGCTATCAACCGACGGGAGGTCGAAAATTTACAGGCTGAGGTCTTGCAGATTTAAGCTGTAATTCATCTTTCGGTAATACATTCCCAAAACGATAGCACTCCGACCTTCTGATCAGTCATGGATTCGAGAAGAGGAGTTCACAATCTGAAAACGTCACATTTCACACGTGTGTTGACATGTTGTATTTTTAATGCTTTAACCGTGCTCTCGACTTTTTTTTATTTAGGAACCCTAACTGCCGACCGGGTGTAAAACACCCGGGAAATGATACTCAAGTCAAAGAAGGTTTACTGACAAACACTTGATTCAGAGAAAGTGTCTTCTCGAATATGTACATAGCAAATGAAGTGTATTCGAAAGGAAACTTCTCGTACGTCTTCCAACTGCAAGCAAACATGAATAAATCTTACACATATCACACATTGAATAAAATTGTAACAAGCAAATAAGTTACAATATAGAACAAACTTTATGGAAAACAACTTCCTTTATTTCGTGAGTGCGACGTTTCGACGTTTGGATACAGATTCTTGTATCGTCACGCATTCGCACTCACGAAATAAAAGACGTTATCCACAAAGTTTGTTCTATAATGTACTTCCCAACTTCTAAAATGCCACTCAAAGACCTTAAATCAGTTACAAGTGTAGAAGTGAGCACAGCTCACATACCCCTGCTTCCCACTTTGGGACATGGAAATGACTGATATTGATATATATAATCAGCAGCTCAAAAGACTTTCTCCTTGACTCTACTAAACCTTATATACATGTTAGATAATAGTTTAGGCATGTACTGATTACAGTAATAATTTATAGAAACATTATTTTTTTTGTGTTTTCCAAGGAAACCTGACATCCAATTGAACTTGTTGCCCACAATGAAGTGGACTAGATGAAGATTGTTATTTTTTAGCACATTGCATATCTTTGGGTCATGATTAACTTGTGTATTGAGTTTGGTGAACCTAGCATGTATAGTTTCGATGATACGCTGTGGCCAGGTAACCATCAAAGACATTTTGCACTAAGTCATGTTTCCATGGAAATAACAACAAAACAAATTCTGAAAAAGTTTAAAATAGAAAAAGGCACATCAATGGGTAATGATTAACATGTGTGAAGTTTGGTGAACCTAGCATGTAAACTTTAAGAGATAGGCTCCAGACAAAACCATCAAACACATTTTGCACCAAGTCATGTCTGCCTTTGACTTAAAATGAAACCCCTTCCAATAAATATATGGATTGCTTAAATACTGCAGTCTAATCTCTGTTTTAGTTGAATATATTACACAACACTAAATAATATGTACTGGTAATGACTGTCTGGCCAGACAATCTAGTGATTTGCTTCAAGGGCATTGAGCAGTGTTTGGGAAGTTGCATCATCCCACCCCAAAGAGGACACCCCAAGCGTGTGAGTGAGTGGGTTTAGTTTTACACCACACTCAGCAATATTCGAACTAGATGGCGGCAGTCTGTAAATAATCGAGTCTGGACCAGACAATCTAGTGATCAACATCATGAAAATCGATCTACCCAATTGAGAACCGATGACATGTGTCAACCGGGTCACCGAGCCTGACCACCCGATCCCTTTAGTAACCTCTTACAAGCATGGGTTTCTAAAGATCAATATTCTAACCCGGATCTTCACGGGTCCCCTAGCTTGTCAGAATGTTGACATAGGTAATCATTTTGGTCATGTTAATAATTTCTCTGAATTCGACCTTGGATCAGTAAGTCCAGTGTTTGAATCCCACTAAATCTTCAGGCACTCTAGCGATAAGAATGGATTGCTGAAAACCAGTACAAACCCAAATCTTCATGGGTCTGTTCACATGGCTGTTAGACACATTTGTTCAGATTCAGTTTGAAAAAATATAGCAACAACACAGACAAATAAGAATTACTTATTTATTTTTTGTGATGTGGATTTATGAGAATGACAAAACTTGACAATATCTCTTTCAACCCGATTTGAATGACAACACAGATTGAGAGGTACATCTCATTAATGGAATAACAGGTTCCAAATTGGACTTGATTGACAAACAAACATGGCATAACTAACATGAAAAACAATATTAAGAAATGCTCCCAAATCTCTCATTAACGACAATGACCTGAAACAACTTACATTCCATACAACACATTGATTTCAAAGTTTAAACACATCTTCAATCTATTATTAAAATGCTTGTTAACCCTAGACGATATTTTTCTTCTTCTGCTGAATGTTAAGACCTTTGGAAAAAACTGTCTGAGTTTGCTTTTAGCAATATTCCAGCAACATCACGGCTGGGGACACCAGAAATGGGCTTCACACATTGTGCCCATGTGGGGATTCGAACCCGGGTCTTCGGCTTGACGAGCCAACGCTTTAACCATAAGGCTACCCCACCGCCCCCCTTTTGAAAAGAAGCAACATCCCAAAAACAAAGGCTGTATAAAAAATGACCATCATTTCAATCAAAAAGATCACTTTCAAATGTTAAACCATTCCATCAATTTGGTCTTGTTAGACAAATTTCTGGTCATTGCACCAATACCTTTAAATATATCTGTGTCAGTTTGATTCTTAACGTAACATCCTATATCTAACACACATTTTCCAAACACTCACCCAGGGATGGAAACGCTTACCCAAAGGCCTGAGGCTAGTAGAAACTACACTGGCTAGTCAATTCAGAATTCTGCAAGCCAGTAGAGCCAGTAATCTTTTCAGCAGATGGTATACTTTTTCTAAATTCCCCTTTAGAGAGCAATACAAGACATTTGGTGAAATGTTTTGAGTCCTAAAAGACTGAAATTTGAAAGTCGTCTTCTTTTATAAGACGGAGTACTCTTTCTAGACATTTGCTAGATTGACTTTAGAGTAAATAAACATTCTTGTCACTCAATGTTTCCAAACATATGCACATACCCCCCTCCAAAGCATCTCATCCCCACTGACCTTTCTTCCAGCCCAGCCCTTTCAATCTAAAAATATTTGAAGCATTCTCACCCACCACCTCTCACAAAGCATACACACACACACATTTTGCCGCACAGCCCATGGTCAGTTTTTCTTCTTGTCTGTGTCCAGGCTCTGTTTCAGCTGCTTGACCAACGGTTCGAAGAGGTCAATACAAAGTGTTCCAGTCTCGTCAAAGAACTTGGCTACTGAATGGCTGATCTCACGTGTGCGTGTCTCCCTAGTTTTTCCGTCAATAAACGATGCTGACAAATTATACACATCGTCATACCTGCAAGAAAAGGAAGAATAATTATGTTTCATTTTTGGTAACACATTCATAGATGTCAAGCCTAACTAAAGCATGAGTAAGGTAGCGCTGGGACGATACACTATTTCCCGATACGATACATATCGTGATATTTTACCTGCGATACGATATGTAGCACGATACATACACCTTGAAAGAATGACACAGTATCATGATTTAAAATCATTTATTTCAAGGTATTTGTGTTTAACAATAACACTAAATATTGTTATAAACACACAAGTAACTCCGTCATACTTGCTTATTTTTCTCTTACTGTAATGTTTAAGATAATACTGTTTTGAAAAAAAAGTTGTGTATCATTTTGTATCGATACACCAGTCCACGATACGATAGCTGTATCAAACTTAAATTTCGCGATGCATCGGTGAATCGTCCCAGCCCTATGAGTGAGTGGGTATAGATTTACGCTGATTTTAGCAACCTACCAGAAATATCAAGGAGGGGGACACCAAAAATAGTTTCACACATAGTATCATGTTGAGAATCAAACCCAGATTAACCACTAAGCCACCCCACCACCAAAACCCTAACTGAAGCGTGAGTGAGTAGGATCGGTTCCCAATTGCGCAGATCGATGCTCAAGCTCTTGATCACTGGATTGTCTGGTCCAGACTCGATTATTTACAGACCGCCGCCATATAGCTGGAATATTGCTGAGTGCGGCATAAAACTCAACTCACTCACTCACTCACTTGAGTGAGTAGGGTTTTACACCGCTTTTTTGCAATATTCCAGCAATATCATGACTCGGGACACCAGAAAAGGGCTTCACAAAATGTACCTATGTGGGGAATCAAATACAAGATCCCAACCCTAAATGAAGCTTAATTAAGGGTACTCGCAAACAAGGATAAGTTGGACAGGTACAGAGAACGCGTTTACGAGAAGTAGGTGGTGCACGGCAATGAGCAAACTGATTTGGTTTGGGCCATGTAGAGCAGATGTAGGCTAGTGCACGTGCATTGCATGATGATGAAATTGATTCCGCACGTAGCTGCACACGCCGTGCTCATAAGACTCTCAAATTGGTGTAGCAAGTTGCACTACACTTGATCGCGGACAATGGCAAGCGCCAGTGGGTGGCACTCACACATGCTAAAACTGGTCAATTGTCAGGTCGGTGCTCAACTTATCATTGTTTGCCAGTAGATTTATAACATTTTTAACAAGTGTAGAAGTGAGCACAGCTCACAAACCCCGCTTCACACTTTGGGACATGGAAATGACTGATATTGATATATATAATGTGACAAGGATCAGCAGCTCATAAGACTTACTCCTTGACTCTACTAAACTTTATATACATGTTAGATAATAGTTTTGCCATGTACTGATTACAGTAATAATTTATGGAAACATTATTTTTTTTGTGTTTTCCATGGAAACCTGACATACAACTGAACTTGACTGTCTCATGTTAAACACAATGAAGTGGACGTAGATGAAGAATGTTACTGACTCTCATGTTGCACACATTTAATACTTGAAATAGCAAAAGGCACATCAATGGGTAATGATTAACATGTGTGTGAATTTTGGTGAACCTAGCATGTAAACTTTAAGAGATATGCTCCGGACAAAGTTTCGGGACAGAAGGACGGACGGACAGAATGAACGCTATATACCCCCCTTACTTCGTAGCGGGGGTATAATAATATTCCTTTAACATATCACAGGGAGCACTAATGTTCACATAAAGGAAATTGAACCCTCAAGGCATGACAAGCAAATACTTGCACTGCACTGCCCCCCTAATGTCCCTTTGACGTTTAGGCAAAATCAGTGGGGAAACAAATGGAGTCGCACTCAGCAATATTCCAGCTATATGGAGGCTGTCTGTAAATAATCAAGCCTGGACCAGACCATCCAGTGATCAACAGCATGAGCATCGATCTACGCAATTGGGATACGATGACATGTAACCACCCAATTCCATTAGTTGCCTCTTACGACAAGTTTGGGATACTGAAGAACAAGTCTAACCTGGATCTATCTAAGTTGACGTGCACTTACTTTTTCAGATAGGATGAGAGTTTCCAGGTGTTGTCGGGATCCATCCCAGCACGATCTTTCGCTAATAATTTTATGAAAACAGTAATGAATACCCAACTCAGACCACAAGACAACTGGCAGTTACAGATGATTATAACTTCGGTCCGCATTATTCACAAAATTCACAATCATATTGCGTCTACTTACGCCTTGAAATGAAGTGAAGTTGACTGAAAATGGATACACAGTGTATATATTTTGTTTCGCTTAATGTCATATTTATTGTAGCTGTCGATCACAACAAACTGGCATGCACACTCCGGCGCAGCGATGACTTGCATGTTTACCTCATTCCATGAGCGTACAACTGCTGCTTACCTTGTTCATGACGGACGTATCTAAATACATAATAACCCAGCTGCAGAATATAAAAAATAAACAAAAGGAACAAAAAGTCTAAATAAATAATGATCTGCCAGTAATGTGTTAAGATAAATAAGCGAAGTTTTGGTGAAATCATAATTGTTGTTAGCTTTCGCGCCAAACAAAATGGCGGCTGCCAACCGGGTTGATGTCGATGAAATATTCAACTACCCTTGCGGGAAAGGCAGATCCAACGTTTGGAAGTGTTTCAGATTTTGGAAGAAATGTCAGGGGTCCCCAACGAAGGAAAAACTTGACATGTCAAAGGCGATTTGTCGTATTTGTCGAAGGAATACGCAAACAAAGGTATCTACTCATAATTTCGTGATACTATCAAGTGAATGGTCTAATAGAGAATTATTTGAAAATAGAAAAGTAAAGATGTTATGAATGTGTTGTTTACTGTATCATCATGTTATACGTGCATGATATGAATCTGTCCATACTCTTAAGTCTATTACTATCAGTACGAAATTTGAAACTACAGAATACATACAAACAAATTGAAACGTTATTGAAAACGAATGACATGTAGGCCTTGTGACATGAATTATCGTAAATCAGGTTAAAACTTGAGTACCCTTTTACTTTGCTATGTCAGAGTCACTTTTGGATATATATCTACTTGCAAACATAAAATATATGAAATAAATCCTGAAAGTTGATTTCATAAATGATAAGAGATTATTTATTTGTCGAAATCAAGAACATAATTGATATTTGTCTTGTACTTAGTCGACTAAAATATATGTTTGTGTCTATATATTTCGAATTTCAATGAATTTTCTTCCAATTTCGTAGAATTTCTAGTGAAACGTATTGGCGTAGTTTAGGCTAAAATTTGTAGCCACTAGTATGATAAAATTGTTGAGGTTGGCATCTCTGGCATTGATGGTAAATAAATAATAAACCATAAAAAGAACAAATTCTTTTTCTTTTCTTTTGTTCAAATTCAACCATCTGTCTCTGAACTGAACTTACTTTTTAGGAGTCTGAGACAATACCAAACACATGGTCTTGTGTAACATATGTTTTATTCAGAGGTTATTCTTGTCATTTCATTTAACCGATTATTAACCGATGATTGATCGGTTGAGCCAATCCGATTGTAACCGATGATCGATTATGAAATCACAACCGATTCCCAACACTAGGGCTTCGCACATTGTACTCCTGTATGGAATCAAAGCCGGGCCTTCAGCAGAGCGCTTTAACCACTGGGTTACCCCATCGCAGAAAAACTTTACAGAGGAAAAGTACAAATCCATGGGTGACAGTCCTCAAGGACCTGTAGCATTTCAGGGCTATCATCATAATAATCATAATTCTAAACAAATTCTCAACGTTTTAATTTCGCCACAAATTAGACTGAAATGCTAAATGGAACTGCTACAAATGTAGTCAATATTTCTGTCTCATTCAAGCAGGACAGGCTACAAATCATCAGAAAAGTAACATATCTGATCAACTTCTTGACTTGTCTTCCAGACAACATGTTTTAACTGCTGTATTGTATCATGTATAGAACAAGTTACAAGTGCTGTCACTTCACCATTATTTATTATTATCACTGCAGCTATTCAAGACTTAAACATGTAGGAATAAAGTTCTCTATCCCAATCCCTGCTACTGTGACTAATAGACAATACTAGATTTAATTATAAGATTTATCCAGATATTTCCTGTTCAAGAGTGTTCAGTCATACACTCTATTTTTCTCGCCTTCCCCAGCTGTAAATTTGCTGATTCGAACTGGTGTCACTGGTTTAGATATTGATGTAATTGTCCTCATATGTAGAATGTTGAACTGTACGACAGGACTTGTAAAGGATACGATAGTACACACATGATGAGAACTGGTCGAGATTCAGGAAATGGTCGCAGATAGTCCCACACGAGGGCAAACATGGCGAAGCCCACGGCGATGGTACAGATGGCAAGTCTCCCATCCATAAGTGAGTGAGATTCTGTGTAGCCGAAGTTCTCTAGCAGCACCTACAAGGTCAAACAGATTCAGGCTTCTGAATATTATGCTGTCCACAAATAATTACAACATTGATGAGTAAAGTCAATTCTTATTTGCTTGTTTATTTGTAATGAAATACAACCTTAGCAACACTGTAGACATATGGCCACTGCCTGTAAATAACCAAATCATGACAGTTTAGTTTAACATTGCACTCAGCAATATTACACCGATGTGGCGGTAAATCATGAGAGTGAGTGAGTGAGTTGGGTTTGTGCTACTTTTAGCAATATTCCAGTAATATCACAGCATGGGACACAAGAAATGGGCTTCGTGGGGAAATGAACCGTGGCCTTCAGCGTGACAAGGAATCCTTCAACCTCTGAATTCACTTACCTTCTTAGCAGCATCATCTAACGAGTTCTTCAAGGCCGAGGGATCCCATCTGTCAATCTTGACAGGTTTGTCTTCAATCGACCATTGCTGAAAACAAACTGATTTGTGATTCCAGTGCTTACTAATTACCATGGATACATACCTTGTGTAGTCAGTGTGTCCAAGGTGTGGAAAGAAGGACAAAAATATTAAATTTTCGAATTCATAATTATCAACAAAGTTACAGTTCTAAAGTTACAGGAAAAAATTCTAATCAGAACAAAGTGTTTATGTGAGAACCTTGAATGTTTTGAATGACCTTTTAACAGTTCAATCAATTCAGTATCAATAACATCATGAATGCGATAATTAGGAACATGCTCATGAGCAAAACAATTATATTGCATTATACATGTACCTGTATACAATACAAGATCAGAGAGTGTTTACAACAAGCATTAATCATGTTAATCAGATCTGACCATGCATACAGGTCAAATAATGAACCATATACAGCAGGGGTGGAAATAACCCATTGCCTGACGCCCGAGTCCAGTGTTTTTTCTGTCGGGCAAGCATATTTGTATATCACACTGTACCGGTGTCCAGTTGACTTTCCAATGTTAATTATGTTGTTTGTTTAAAAAATCAACAAGAAAATCGGCCAGTATAGTGGAAAAATTATCAGGACAAGTGATTTTACTTGTGCCACTGTACCGGAGTACACTAGGAATTTTAAAGTTATTTCCAGCCCTGTACAGTGAACCCTTATCATTCAGACCCTGTTTGTCTGGAATCCTAAACTTTCTACTGTTTGGAAGATAGCTAGAGAAGCATTACCATAATTACTATTATCAATAAATTCTCAACCATTAAAATCTAGAACACCATCACCCTTGCTTAAGTACACTGGAACAGATCAGATTAATGAGGTTTTACTTGCACCAGTGTGAATATCATGCAGTGTAACTAAATCATGAATCAAACGCCCAAGCCTGGTAAGATCAAGTACTGTAATCGAATATATTTTCACGGGGTGCAATTTTCGCGGAAAGTTCACCAAAGACCTGTTAGCGCATTTGTTTTTTCGCGTATTTCAAACACCTGAGTGATGGTGTCCATCACAAAGTTTTCACAACCGATAGACATGCAATGATCAAAGCTAGCTGCCATAATTGAATCGTGTTTACAAAAACAATGAGAAAGAGAGGTTGGATTATACTTGTGTCAACATGACAACACCGGTCCAATATGTGAGATTAACTGACAACAAATTAAGGAAGAGTGTATACCAGTACTTACAATAATTAAACATAGAAATCATAAAGTAGTATTTGTTGTTTATGAACACGTGTTGTTCACATGGTCAAATCATTGCTTGGCTGCATTAAACAAATTGCATGTTGTTCCTACTTGTGTATTTGTCTGAATTTTGTCATGACTTGACCATGAATATTTCGCTTGGTATGATTATTGACGCACGATCTTTTTACGCTAAAAGCGCAAAACTTAATCCCACGCGAAAATAACTACGATTACAGTAATTTATTTTTAGGCGATATTCTATGACTCAACATGCTCAATTCTATATGGAAAGACACAAGAAACTTTGTCAGTTAAACTCTGGGTGGGATGGTGGATTTAAAAGATGTTGGCACAGGGCATATTTTTAATTAACAACTGACCAAAGGACAGAATGGCCTTAAGTTTATGCAGTGTTGTAAACTCCCCAAAATTTCAGCCACAAATCTGGTCTGGTAACTCTCAAAAGTTACCAGACCGGTTGGAAAGTTGCCAGTCCAGTATTTTCTGGATTAAGATAAATACAAAGAAGGTAAATAAAAGGAGGGAACTGTTTAATGTCAAGTTATTGTCACAATAATCCACATTTTCAAATCTGTTTCAGTCAAGGCTTTAGTCATTATATACATTACAAAAATACACGGATTTATCAGCCACACCATCGGGCGTGCAACTTTTTAAAAGTGACCATCCTGTCTCAAAACAGACCATCCCGGACGGTCGGGCAGGTGGGAGTTTGCAACGCTGGTTTATGATGTGGCCAGTACAAAAGTAACTGACAAAATTTATAGAAAAGTCAATTCCTTTCTGCCCATTGAAGATGATTGAACATATCACTACCTCATCTTTCTGCTGATTTGATGAAGTCTGTAAACATAAAATGCAGTATTTCCATCTGAATTTGTAAATTTTATAATAAATTGTATATTTATATACTTATCCTATCTCACGGTATGCACCTCTCCTCTTCTTCTACGACCATGTGTGGAAACGTGCTGTAGGCTAAGTTGAATCAAATCTTAATGGCCTCTGACCCCCCTGACCTCTGACCCCACTCCAATATCAGCACCAGTCAATCATCTCCATAAGCGTGCAGCTCGCTCAGATGATCATGTGACTACCTGTGCCTGTCATTCTCGTCTTGGAGCTTCCAGTAATCTGTGATGTGGGGCAGGTCGGGTGGTTATCCATCGCGTGAGATAGGATAAGTATATAAATATACAATTTATTACAAAAGTTTTTTAAACTTATCCTATCTCACGGTATGCACAATCCCACGGTTGGTAGGAGGGCCGCAGATTACCCCGTCAATACGTATAACCAGGAAGACACATAACCCCAAGGAGGCCAGGAGAAAGCACCAACTCCCGATATGCAGACTCCAAACTTGAGATGGGTTCCTTGTAACCCCTTGGCTTACAAAAACTCTACGGAGTGGGCGCTCCCGAATTAATGTGGTTTTCAGCCGCAACTTTTGACAATCAAAAGGACGCAGTTTGACAAGTAGGCCCCGCCGACCCGCAATTTATCAGGTGACCCCAGTGAATTAAAGTCGAAGACCTTAATCTGGCCAGTCCCTGCTGCGAAACTACCCCCCACAGACACACGCTGGAAGGCGGTGAAAGAGGGAATAGCTCAGTTGCTCAACTAGTTTAACGTGCAGTACCAATCTCCCTAACTTACCAAGGTGAGAAAGGACTTAGGAGCAGAACGCTTCCGAAAACCATGTAGGTAATCGGAAATCAACACTTTACTGACGTAATTGCTCGGAGAGTAGAGGTCAGTAAGCTGAGTGTCGATCATCTCTGCATGTAGCACAAGACTGGCCTTACAGTCTATTTAAGGAGAATACGAACGAAATCAAAATTTTTGATATATTGTAAAGGATATTCTAAAAGTAAAAGTCACATTCTGTGATTAAAATTGAACAAAAAGTTTGTAAAATCGCAATAAAAACACAAAAACATACTCGTATTTCCACTAATTACGGAAACACCCGACAGTTAATGAGCAGAGGAGGTACCACATGACTTGACGTCATAAGTGCCTGTTGCTGATGGCTTCCTCTTTGATTTTACCTCACAACTTAACAGTGTTCGTGGATGCTGAAGCAGGAAAAGATGTTCCTGATGTCATTTCTGAAATGGATGTTAGACTGTATCAATATGATCCGATTTTACATCTTGCAAGAAAATCTTCCAATGAAGATGAAGAAGAAGAATCAAAAAACGGAGGCACCGCTTGAGGTCAAAATAAATTTAAAAATAGACCAGATCATTTAACAAGATTACTATTTGTCAGCAAAATGTCATACAGTTCCAGCCAGCAAACTCACCCCTATAAATATATGACCAGTCACTAAGAATTATTTTTTTAAAAATGTCATTACAGTTCATTTTGTGTCAAATGGGTGACTGTAGGGTGTCCGGGATTTAAAAACAAAATTACTATGCTTCAGACGAGGGAAAATAAAAATTATCTGCTTCAAAAATTACACTTGAATTATTTTGTTGAAAAAAATTAGGATCCTAGATCTCATTAATAACGTATCAAGTCTCGATACAAGATCCCAGCCTGGTCGAGCAGAGATAACATTCGCAACGCAAATAAGTTATTCCCTGCAAACTGGTGAATTATAAAATACTAGTGAGGACCACGTATGTTTCCCCATTGTTTGGTTATGGAAATAGTTATGGTACTCGGTCAAGCCTTAGAATGACATCCTGTCAGCCAATGAGAATACAGAACAACTTTCACGGCACACACTACTGACAAATAGCGAGTCTGATGACGACGTGCGTAATTGGACAAAATGGAAAAAAATCAAAGCAACACGTTCTTCATGATTTGCCGTTGTATTCGGCAATGTTTCGTGTTATTAGGGCTCCAAACCTAAAAAAACGTTATAGCGAAACATTTTCAAGCTCATGTGAAATCTCTTACTGATTTTGGTAATATATACCAGTCGAAACAGTCAAACTGCCCCTACAAAATGCCCCAGCAAATTTGGTCATTCTTTCTAATTTGTTCAAATTTATTTATAATGATTGAATATATGCCGTAAATGCATAGTTTTTGTCACCTTATTATGATATTATGTTCTTCATATAAAGGTTATTAGGAAGTAATATTTCTGATAAATGTTTCATTAGTAAACTCATAACTATGTATATACTTATATATGAAGAACATAATTATAACCAGGATATTTAGAATTGAAAACTTAAAATACATTTGGTAAAGATTTAAGGAAAATTTGAAGTTCAGCTAAGAAGTGTCATTGTACTTGGAAAGTGCATTGACCAGAGTAACCAAATTCATATCGATTCATTTCCCTTGCATACAACAAATTTAATAAGGGAGATGAGTGGAACATGTGGATCGGGTGACTCATATACCATTTAGGAAATTACTGGTAATTAAGATACTAAGAATCAGAAAAGGGACACACGTAATGATTCGATTAAGCATCTTCTGGCGCCTGCCAGTCTGAAGTTTTATTCGGTTGAATGCTTCACGAATGATTTAAGCTCACTAACGAAGTAAATTTATAATGGAAGAATTTGATGGTACTGATTAAGTCTTGGAAGAGAGGAAATAATAGCAATCAGGGGTGCAGCTGGAAATTGGAATATGATTTAATTTTATATAGTGTAGGACATTATCTCAGGGGGAGGAGCCAAAATTGTTATGAAGACTATTTTGTTAGTTGACTGGGAAAGAGTGCTCGATTCTGGGCCCCACCATTGACTTGAAAGGTTCTCTCTGTATATTGAGAGAAGGCCCAGATGAACTTGTACCATTTGGAGTTGTACAAGAATCCAACAAGTTCTTCCAAGAAGTTTGTGAATCTGTGTTGTGTGTAGACCAGGAAAACTAGGCAATATCTGAGGACCTTTGTGTGAGAATTCATTCCAAAATAAATGGACTTGAACAACATACCGGACATATCTTTGACTATCCATCTTAGCTACATCATCCCCGGAACAAGAGTAGATAGACAGATTGCCTACGGAGAAGGGTATAACACCCAGACACCCTCAGGTAACAAGAGTCTTCTAAAGTGATGGGGCTAGACGCATGCGGCCGGAAAAGTTGACGTAAATTTTCACTGAGGTAAGAATCCGACGCCTTCCCTAGGAAATCTTCAGCAGGCGACAGGGACTTCGAAAGTCGGACTGCAGTTTTCTTAAGGCGTTCTGTCTTAGAACGTCTTAGACGCAGAAGGACCCTCAGATGGTTGACGACGATCACTGTCTGACACGCGTCTACAAGCTACCCGGCGATATTCAGAAAAAGCATCATCGTTAAGGTCTGCACAAAAAGTGCAATGTTGAGACCACTCGCAACGTCCTAAACAATCAACACATGAAGCATGTGGGTCTGCCGCCGAGAGAAGTTGCTGTTGCATTTATCGCAATGTTTGCGCTTTTTAGCACTATTGTGATTCGATTTTCCCATTGTAGAAACACAATCAAACTTTCTTAGAGACAAGCACACGTCCACACGACGTAGCGACAAGAAAGAGAATGACAGGCACAGGTAGTCACATGATCATCTGAGCGAGCTGCACGCTTACAGAGATGATTGACAGGTGCTGATGTCAGAGTGGGGGCAGAGGCCAGTAAGATTTGATTCAACTTAGCCTACCGCAGGTTTCGACACATGGTGGTAGAAGACGAGAGGTGCATACCGTGAGATAGGATAAATTATACATAATATCTGGAAATGTACCTGACATATGATTTGTTTATTAATACTAACTCTTTTAACAATGTCTGAAAAAAAACTTATTACATTTTAATTGATCATATAATACCCAGATTTGAAATCAAGCTATTTTTCGCAATGTTATTGAAAGAAAACCTATTCTCAGACACATGCTTCGGCAACGGGTCCACATCTAAGTTGTCAATGAGCAAAATATCGATGTATTGAGTAAATCATAAAACGAACTGAATAAACTAAGGAATACAAATCAACAAAAGTACACATAAAAGTTGTCAAACGTACATATGGGTTAATGTTTCTTTTTTTTTAGTGCAATCATGTAATTTAAGTCAAGTGACATCTCTGCTTTCATCGCCTCAATCTTCACACACAGACACGATGTAAAAGTATATGCATAAGACAGTTTTGTCACAGGTAGTACCTTAGCATGAAACATCCACGACGTTCTATAATTAACGTGTAGGTGGCGATTTCTTGGTTAATACATTCATAATAGCACGATTTTAGCCAAAACTTTCATCTAAATATATAACGGATTGGGGCAGAGTGCCTAAACTTCATGGAATCTGACAATGTGCACTGATAAGTTTACTTCGATAAACGTAAATCATATGCGTTTTACAAATCGTTGTCAAAGTATGGACTGGAGTATATTTAGAATGTCCACCTTTACTGAAAGTGTGGCTCAACATGATGCAGTTGTCATCCTACATATATGGACGAAAATGTCGAGGAAAGGAAAGCAAGGAAATGGAAGATCTTTCGAGCATCTTTCGTTTAGCTACCCTTCCTGTACAGCAAATGAATTCTGACCAAAGTTTGAATGCTGTATACGTATTGGGACCCACATATGTACCTGGAGAAATGATTAACACTTATCAAACTCTTGCGATTATGGCTGAATTACAATTAAAGGCCATAAGTGTTTGCCATATGGCACATGGTAATCAACAGCTGCCGGTATCAGATGTGCCGGCGAGTTGATTTTTCAAGATCTGTTGAAAGAATTTCTGGTGCAATTATTACAAAAACACGAAATTGAGTTTATACTGGACGTAATGTGGCAAGGTTATAAAAAAGGCAAACATAGGTAACGTGAATAAGAGCGAAAAACACCTTCGAATCCTTCTTTTCGGATGCCATCTTGTAACCGGAAGTACACGTCTGGTAACTCTCGAAAACTGGCTATCGTGTTACAGTTTTACCTTTGCGTCACAATTGTCGCTGAAACACGTATATTTTGAAAATTAACAAATATGTGTGGTTTCACTTTTCATCTATCTGTCACGTGATTGATCTATATTGAAAGATAATGATGAATTTATACAACGTCCCGGTTCTAGATTTACCGGAAGTACTGTCCATATGAAAACGAGGCTGCATTTTTGTCTGCTCGAGAAAGGAAAACACTGGATCAAAACGGAATTTATTACAGGTGCTTAGACTTGTTTTATTTCTGGGTAACATGTGTGGATGTACATGAAGTATTCATTTTTTCAAAGTGTCATCGAATAATTTTGACATTGATTTTATTTAGTATTTGTCAAGGAGACTTAGTAACATGGATAACACAAACGTTTCTTACAGTTTACATTGGTTACCAACAACTTATCGAATACTTGCTTATTAAGTCAAAGGTTTTGAGCCAGAAAACGCCAATATTGCAGTTTACACATGGCAAGACTATGTCATATCACTTACATTTTCGTGAAATTTAAACCTTCGATCTTTTTATTCTTATTTTACGGTGGTGACACCGGGTAAATATTGATTTTTGGAAAGACTTCCAACCGTATCCCCCCCTTAAATTTCATTCTAACCAAATCATATCACCTGAATATATATTCCTCATCTAATAAGGGTGAGTTTTAACATGTTTCTTTAATTGTATCTGAACATTCTGAAAGACATGTTCAACTTCTAAAAATGCCACTAAAAGAAATTTTTTCTCATCTTCAAAATGTAGGGTAGATTACCTGATTTTTAACGATATTTGTCAAAAACAGGTCCAAGATGGCAAATATAGCCCATCCATCATTTCAAGAAATGTCATATGTTATAGCTTCACGATTATCTATTTGTGGTCATATCGACTTACAATTCAAACATTATGATGATCAAAGGAATTGCTGCCAGGCACCTAACATTTCCATTTCCATTTTGTATGTTTTCTAACTGAAATATTCAGAAATTCAAGTTCACTGTTCAATAACTTGATTTTTGTGAAACTGTGATCATGTTGTTCTATTGACACCTGTATGACAGGCACCTTGCCACAATATGAAAAAACGCATACATGAATGAATGAATGAATGAATGATGCATGTCAGCAGACTAGGTCATAAATAAAAGGCCCTAACATCCAGTTTTTCTTTCTGGAAATCCAATTTCACATTGTAGGAGACTACATTCTCAATTATTCCTCACCTGAGTACATAGGGAAACCTACTGGATTATGATATGGTAATAATGAGTCATGTAGATGGTTATTTAGATAATTAACAGCATCTGTAGTAAGTTGATATGTTTGATTCCCACTGTTTGATCCCACTCATTATCTTATTGAGGGCTACAGATAAGGGGTGTACAGGTGTAATGTAGGCCTAACAATCAATGAAGTATGACATGATATAAGATTTCAAGCGTTTCATGTATGCACATAAATACCTTTGTATGTCTCACAGTTAATTTCCGTGCGTATAGTGCAGACGGAATTCTAGTTCGGATCAATACTTGTTGTCAAGAGTTTCTTTCGCGAAACACGATTTGACACACGAGGAAACCCTGGCAGTGAGATTCCCTTGCATTGCCATGCAACGATATAGCGTCACTATTTCTGACTGACTGGCTAAAAACTACACTGTTCCTATTTATATCCAGTCGAACCAGATGTTTCGCGTCACATCACACGGTCGCTCAGTTATTTCTCACTCGTCTTCAAAATACATTTACCCTTAACTAAAATGTCACTTTGTTACGGAGAACTGTACATACAGTGTGTCGCTATTATCGCATGCAAGGCAGTAACATACACCACTAGAACGTGTACAATTCATTTGAACAATAGTAGACAAAACAACAGAAATCTATAGAGTGGGCGTAAACTGAAGTAGGATGAAACGTCATTGAATCGGGTCTAGCATCCAATATGGCGTGTCAAAAACAAATAACGAGTTTCTTTGGGAAAAGGGAGTCTAAATCAGGATCAGACACATTTTCGTCAATGAAATTAGTTCAGAAATTAATCAATGAACTATAACGTTTGGTTATGCTACCACGAAGCCACAAGGGCGGGAACAAGTTACAGACTGAAAAGAGCTGGCAGAAGTCGTACCCATGGTTGGAAATAGTGATCGATGATTCATCCAGACAGAGGAAATTGTTTTGTGCATTGTGTAAAACACAGAAGAAACAAAATGTCATGGGGACAGTGGGATCAAACAATGTGATTCTGAGTGATTATGTTATCTTAAAAGTGAACATTTTGTGAAATAATCAGCAACAAACCAATGTTAATTCTCTTTATTTCTTTGCCATCATATATAAAGTTTAATAGCTGATAAGTTGTTTAAAATTATAAATAACAAACCACATCACCAACTCGCTCCCACAAAAACATGTCAGTACTCCTTCAAAATTCTCAGTGCACCTCCACTTGCAATATGAGGTGTAAGTACACCCACACCCCCAAAAGTTATCTGGAGCCCTGCGTATTGTAGAATCTGACACTTTGTACATGTTCATACGAAACACACAATCAGAAAACATGTTGAATGTTACCATGTTAATATTATCAATGTTTACTTTAAGTGCATTTTGCTATATCCTGGATATCTTCCTCTAAGAGTAGTAAAAATACGTGTGAAAATATGCTGAGATGCTGAAAATGAACTGTCAGCAGTGGTCAGCATGTACAGAACATTGAGCAAGAACAGCATCAGACAGCACATAGTCAGTCTTTACCTGTGGACTTATCCAATAGATATAGTTTATATCTGTTGTAATCTCAATGCAAATTCAGTTCCTCAGCACGATGTGTATAAATGACATAGATGGTTTGTTGTTTACACTTAAAGGGTACCGTAGATAAGCCGAATTTGGAGGACGAAAAAAAGCAATTGGTAGAATGGGGTCGGCTTATCTATGGGCTACACTTTCAACAAACCTTTTTTCAGGGAGTATGAAAAAGACATAGTATCGTCTCATGTGAACAAACAAGAGGAGACGACTTTGTCAGTAAAGACGTCAAATTTGCAATTAAACATCAATAGACAAGATTATTAACCTATTCAGTTCTAATTTGTTTTTTTAGTCACGATATGGCTGAAATATTGCCGATGTGACTTTAAATCTTAACTTACTCACTCTAATTTGTTTTTTGCCAGGCATTGTCTTATATGCAAGGATACAGAGTTGGAAATAGCAATCAACTGTGCAGTGCACATGTTCCCCTACCAGTGATTTAGTTAAAACATACCTGAGATTATAACGATATGAATTCTGATGCATTGATCGGAAAAATATAGTATCTAAACCTATTATTTTATAAAGAGAAATATATTCTAGTATTGTGTCATTTTAATTGCAGGTTTTGCTCCATTAATGTAAAATATTGTTCCATGAATAAAAACTACCCTGGATAACCTTAGTTTTGATTATAACTAAGGTTATCCCGGATTGTTTTATGCATGGAAAATTTGACCTGTCACTCATGAGGTTTCATGCGATTTCGCTACAGTGGAATCTGTCAAATCCAGACTCTTTTTCTCCATAATCCGGACTACTCCCTGTGTCCCGATAAAATTGTTCTTAATTTATCATTAAAGCTTGCTTTGTAATCCGGACTCAAATCTGGTAGTTTTTGGAATTCTGAATAAAATATTTTGGCGTTTCCATGGCAACACGTTTGACTTAGACTGAAATTGGTGGTTGTGCTCTTTTCCGGAGCAGAACTTTAAAAACCTTTCAATGTTTCTTCACCAAACTTGGCACATACATAGATCTGGTGGTGTACTGGTGCCTTTTGGTAGTTTTGGATTTCTGAATAAAATATTTTTGGCATTTCCATGGCAACAAGGTTGACTAAAACTGAAATTGGTGGTAGTGCTCTTTTCCAGAGCAGAACTTAAAAAACCTTTCAATACTCTCCTTCCACTTTTCTATATACACACCTAAATATTTGACATAATCATAAATCATAGACATAATCATGAAGAGTATTTTGCCATTGCGGGGGATATTGATGACTTTGTCTTCTTGTTTTGATTATCATGATTAAATGCTGCTGTTGGATCAGCCGCTGCAAACAGAGATGGTTATTTGGACTTGAAACCTTTGTTCTGCCAATCAGAATCAAACCTTTTGCTAAATCTGAGTAGAGCTAGAAAACAAGCATGATAAAGATACCCAGTTTACCATCCAGAGTTCAACTACAAAATAAGATTTCAAATGTTAAATTTAGCACAGTTAAATCTGGAATATTGCTGAGTGTGAGCGTAAAATAACACAGTTAAATCTGGAATATTGCTGAGTGTGGCGTAAAACTAAACTCACTCCCTCACTCTAAATGAGTTCAGAGGGGTTCACAAAGTACATGGTCTAGGCCACCAGTAGTCGGACTTCCATATTGTGGAGGCTGTGCGGTCTGAGTGGGTTAGATTGCAGACCATTTTGCTGAGAATGTAGGTTCAAATCCAGACCTAGAATCTGTACTTTACCAAGAAAGTGCAATTACAAATATGATTTGTTACATTTGACCCCTTTTTAAAGGACCGCCTCCGTGGTGTAGTGGTTAGAGCGTCCGCCCGGAGTGCGGAAGGTCGCGGGTTCGATCCCCGATTGCGTCATACCAAAAGACGTTAAAATATGCTACTTGTTGGTCCCTGCCTGGCGCTCGGCATTAATGGGTACATCAAGGACTGGTCGGCTCGGAGTCAGTATAATGTGTCTGAGTGGGGTATTCATGCTTCACTGCGGCATGGTATCACAGTGGGCTAGCACTATAAAACCAGCTTAAGTCTGGGCTAGTACAAGCAGCCGCACTTACACATTCACACGCATGCACGTCGTCATATGAGCGAAATATTCTCAAGCACGACGTTAAACCCAATTCCACCACCATCACCTCCTTTTTAAAGGTACTGTGTATTCAAAAGTTTCAGCCATAGGAACTGTAACAATTTACGCTTGTCATTTCAGGGGTGGAAATAACTCTAAAATTGCTAGTTTACTCCGGTACAGTGGCACATGTAAAATCACTTGCCCTGATAATGTTTCCACTATACTGGCCATTTTCTTATTGATTTTTTAAATAAACAACATAATTAACATTGGAATATCAACTGGACACCGGTACAGTAGGATATACAAATTTGCTTGCCGGACAGAAAAAAACACTGGACTCGGGCGTCGGGCAATGGGTTCTTTCCACCCCTGCATTTGTAGCAAACTCGGTGGTAATTTCTAACATCAGGGGAGAATTATTCACAGATTATACCAAAATGAAATATGCTTGTATTTGTGATTTACTATTTGTCTCTAAAATGATGTCAGTGAAGCAAACAGTAATCAATTCACTTCTCCTTGAGTCACTAATGTATTTTCACTTGGCATTTGTCTTTGGTCTTTGAATTTCCATGTGTTTGTTTAGCTGTTTGAATAAAGAAGTTGTTATCCACAGTGATGGAGCCTGTCTTTGTTTCTTCACAGTGGGTAGCTAGACAGCAGCCATGAGTGAGCAGCTGAAATTTATAGTGCAGGAGTTGGCCAAGGAGCCCTTCAGCAAGAACTACAACTTGATTTCCTTTGATTCACTGGAGCCATTGCAGATCCTGCAGGTTCTCAATGATATCCTCGCCCTCATTGACCCGAAGGTGAGTGATATCATATCAGGGATTTACCGTTAGTCCTGTATTTGAGGGTCCCTGGGACTCATGCTTATAATTTTCAGGGGTCCTGGACAACAAAATGGGGTCTCATAGACTTAAATGTTATTACTAATACTGTTATTCGTTTATAGTGAATGTGAATTATGAATGTACTTCATGAAGAGGTACAGTATGATTCACCGGATACACGAATGAATCGTAACAGGACTAGTGTCCTTATGACCGTCAGAATGCAATGTTTTTCAGCACAAGATTGATATCCGGGAGGAAAGTCCCGGACCAGACAGCCATTAGGATTTTCCAGCTTCTCCGGGTGCTCAAGTACAAGCCCCCGACAGAAATCAGCAACTTGTGAGTCTACTTCAGTGTCTGCTAAATCTCACTCAAACAATTTCAGCTTCATTTGGTAGTAAAAATTAATCATATATGTAAACAGTTATCGGCTGACGATTCATTATGATATTGTAAGCTCTGCGAATGTGATTCAGTGGGAAAAAATATGAATCTTATCCAATATACATTGTCAGAAGAATCTGTCATCACGACGGCATGGTCACGTACACAACCAGTGAATCATTTCTTCAGCCGTCATTCCGTCACTCAGTCATCCCCCACTGCAGGGATTTATCTCAGCTTTAGAGACACTCAGTGGCTGTAAATCTGCAACCGGTGTCTGTGCAAATGCTGAAATTGGAATACAGTGTACCCAATTCTAATAGTTATTGCCACGGTTTAATGAAAAACAGCCGACTTGTATTTTACTCAAAACAGGAGCAGTAAAGAAGATTGGAAAGGGTTTTTACTGTTCAGCTTAGCACTAATGAATGCAATGTAAAAATACCTTCTACACTGAGTAAACAAGAACTTGAACAATTATCAAAACAATAGGTTTTCCAAATTTTCTGCTCAGCTGGGTTTAATTTTGGCCTCCCTGAAAAACACCCTTGATTGTCTAGTGACAGACAAACTGGTATATTAGCCACTGTGATTGGTTCTTGTACAGTTCTCCCAGGACTGAAGACATACTGAACGGAAGGTTGAGTGTTCTTGTTAATGTTCCTGTTCATTTATTTGACATGTTCCTGCGACAGTTGTTCTGTGTCACAAATATGAAAGGACCAGGAGTTAGAATTGATCAGAAATATTTGTTCATTGTTTGATTTTGTTTTTATCCCCCCCGGCATGTAATGCGGGGGGATATAGTCGTCGCCTCGTCCGTCCGTAATCATTTTGTATCCGGAGCATAACTCAAAGACCGTTCAATATTTTTCAACAAAAATAGGTAGATATATCAAACATAAGCTAAAGTGGTGCCTTTTGCTATTTACAGTTTTTTGGCATTTTTATTTTTCTTGGCATCCATGGAAACGTTTTGGACTTAGTCGAAAAATATCAAGCTGGACTTTAAGTAACTTTCAGTTGATTTGTTCTTTCAAATTTATGGGGGCCGGGGGGATTTGTCATCTTCTGATGACTCTTGTCTTTTGAACTTAAAATGTGTTTTTGGTTTCTTGGTGTTCATTCGAATTATTCTTTGATGTTTATTGAAATTATTCTTCGCGTTATTGGAATTATTTGATTCTTTCCGATTCATTTGAAGTATTCTGGGTCATAAACCAGAAATGTTCTATGTATTTATTGGAATTATTGTTCTATTTTTATTGGAATCACAATCACAATCAGTGATACTGATAACTCTTTGGGACATTGAGTTATGTACTCGCTTGTGCTCGTCCCAATTGGGTATCCTAAGTTTCCTTTGAGTAACTAAATAAATTGTACTCATCTCACTCAGACTCAGTTGGATATTTTGCTATTTCCATTAATTTTAAAAATACAATAAAGTTTAAATGTTAGTGTTTGTTATTCATATTTGATCTGTAATATGAGAAATTATAAGAAAGACTGCAAGTTGCCAAGTTCATGTCCTGAAATAGAATGTCTCTATATTCCACAGTTATTTTATTTACCCACCGGTACACAAGCTAAGATTTGACATTTTTGTGTGTACGCATGTATGATCACTTTTATTGAGTATTTACAAAAATTCAAGCGTACTTGTACGCAATAGTCTTAATAGGAATTGAGTTTTCACATAAATATTTGCGTAATTTACGCAGATACACAGCTTATATTATATGAACCTCTGTGGAATTGTTCTTTGAGATGTCGTATATCAGAGTTTCATATGAAGGCCACACTGTTGTGTCTTTTGTGTCAGTGACTGTTGAGTTAGGGTCTGTTAAGTTTCAGATTTGGTTTTGTCTGTGACTGTTAAATATCCGGATCTGTTAAGTGTAAAGGCCTGTTTTGTCTGGGTCTGTTAAGTGTCAGCTTTTATCTACAATCTACTAAACATTAGTTGATAGTGCTATTCATCAGTTGATCTTAGTGCATATTAATACACATTAGGTGATACTACCAGGCATAAGTTGGTCATTCCAAGTTGAAGGACCACAGGGGCTGATAATGCAAAACAGTACTAGCATCAGTGTATATGTTACAGTCAGATTGTGAAATCAGTCATTTCGTGAAATAACTAAGACGATCAACCATTTGCTATTGGCTATATAAATAGGTTTGAACGTTTCCATCAAATTTGATGTAAATGTGCTTGATAACAATTGCCAATGTTCATGATGCACGAAACAAATCGCCAAAACACATTTTGTGGCCCCAACTCTCAGAAACACGAACCACATGTCAGTGTCGGATATATGGGAAAGATTGCGTGAAAAATCAGTATAAATGGCCTGTCCAACACTACAATATCACTGCACATAAAGTCACACAGAGAGAATACCAAGGTTAACCCAGGAAGAAAGAGAATGAGCAGGGATAGTTGAATGGCTGACCCTCTTAGTTATTTCACGAAATGACTGAAATTTTAAGTCATTTCATGAAATGACTGATTTCATATCATATATATGATTACATGTATATGAAATAAAAATATAATATGTATATTTTGTTTGATCATGTATGAAGTATCACCAACGAACAACCATTTCAGTCAGATAGCATAACTCACAGGGCCAAATTTCAGTCATTTCATGAATGACTGACTAAAACAGTCATTCCACGAATTGACTTAAAGTTTCAGTCATTTCATGAAATGACTGATTACGCAGTCTAAATGTAGCATATATACTGACTGTTACGATACATACATTGATGCTATCTGTTTGCGTTACAAGCCCTATAAAATGGACATGATCATGTTCAGCTTTCAGTATATTTGGCTGCATACTAATTCTGTCACCTTTTTAACTTTCAGTGATCCGTAAGTCCCCCTTTGTCTTTTCTATATATAGATCAGTTGAACCTTTGGTCCTATATTCTGCCATTCATATAGTGTAGAACTTTCCACTCTCATGCTGATATAACATCTTTACTCTATATGGGATTGGCTTACTGTTTTGCTAAACCTGTTGGCTCTTTTATGAGGAGATACCTTTGTTTAAATCTGGTGGCTCTTTAGTGAGGAGACACCTTTGTTGACATCCAGCTAGTTTACAACCTACCAATGAAGATCCGACTTAGTACTGGCCTTCAGTAACCCATGCTTGTCGTAAGAGGCGACTAATGGGATCAAGTGGTCAGACTCGCTGACTTGGTTGACACATGTCATCATATCCCAATAGCGTAGATTGGTGTTCGGCATGGTGTTGATCACTGGATTGTCTGGTCCAGAATCGATTATTTACAGACCACCGCCATAAAAGTTATTTAAAAGACTCATTTAAAAGTTCCCTGAAAACCCATCTTTTCAGAAAATATTACAATCTATAACTTAACTTTCCAAAAATTTCACCCTCGTTCTAGCATAACCTTTGCTTTGTAAATATTTGTAAATATGTAGCGCTTTGAGCATGCCTTATGTGTGGAATTCAGCGCATTATAAATACACATATTTTTATTATTATTATTATATAGCTGGAATATTGCTGAGTGCGGCGTTAAACAATAAACAAACACAACGGTTCACAGCCTGTTTTGTACTATGGGGTTATAAAAAGCTTAGCAAGTAGCTGTGTGCTTAGTAACAAGGAGTGAGAAAAAGGGGGAAATTTACAACTTTAGTAATGAGGGATCAAAATACTGCTTAATTGGCATGCCATGGTAATATACATGTGTCAGAATCAGATACATTTAATCAGGTTACCCAGAAAAAAACATGTTTGATTGAACTGTTATTGTACTTGGAGATAAAATCACAATGTACCAGCTTAATCAGTCATTTTTTCTAAATATTGGACTGTACGTGCTATAGCAGTTGTACATTGTACAGTATGATATGTAATATAAGTGTCCTGATATTCTTTTTAGATTGGTTGCAAGTATCATTACCCTATCAGCAGATTTCCTGAACAGATTCCTTACAATCTCCCCTGTTTCCCATGCCATTTTTCTTTAAGGTATTTTCTGTTCTAACCTGTGACTGAACTGTAGCTACTAATCATAGAGTGTTTGAGCCTATAGAACTGCTGCAAGATGCTAGCATTAACTCCAGTTTGCTTCTTTCAAAGGAATTCAAAATCTAATATACTAGTAGTTGTTAAACAGAGTTTTAGAACTACAGATCCATTAAATACAAAAGCTCCAATCTCAAGAGTACTTGAAAGTTATATTGGAAATTTGTAAAGAATTATTTTGAAATGGAATTTTGTGTTCGCACATGTTTCTATCGTTTTGAAATAATGTTTCTTTAACAGATTTCAAAGGTACTTGAAAGTGGGAGAATTTATATAAGGAATTAGCTGTAAAGTTGTTACAATCTCCAGCTGACAGGGTTGTCTTCCCTCCATAGGAGTGCCTTTAGAGCTGGCTTGGTGCAGGGAGAAAAGCCCATCATATACCCTATCCTGGAATGGATGCTACCAAGGGTCAACGACCTCCAGAAGAGAGCCTACCTGGCCAAATACCTTGTGAAAGTCGAGGTCCCAGCTGCCATCATGACTGAAGAGGACATCGTCTCCATCTATAACCAGGTCTGTTGGCGTGGAAACATTCAATAGTATAGTAATAAGGCCTGTAGGGCAGCTAGCAGTTGACTTGTATATTATATACGGGGATTACTGGTCCTCAGACCTATGGTTGTTAGAGGCATCTAAATGGGTTGTTAGAGGCATCTAAAAGAAAAGCTGGGTCAGATAGCATCAATGACTTGGTGGATTGTGTACTCACCACATGATCATGTATTTTCAGAGTGGACTGTTGCTTTGCAATATCAATCACCTACCTACCCTAGTTTGGCTGGAATATTGTCCATAACAACTGGCCTCAATATTGTCATACATTGTGCAGATCATGCACTGTCATACAACTGCAATATTGTCATACAACAGCAATATTGTCATACAACTGCAATATTGCTATGTTAAACAACAGATATAATGTAGAAAATGTTTTCCAAGAGATTGATTATTTTGTGTGTTCACATGTTGGTCACAATTGTGGAAAAGGCGGTGAATGCAACTCAATCACTCACTAAACCACTCAACCCAAACCTGTCGGCCCCTTCCCTCCGTCCGTCCTTTCCTCCCTCTCACTCTGCTCCACTCTGCTCCACTCCACTCCACTCATATCCCACCCAGCGACCCACTCAAATCCCAATAAATACATCAATTCTTCTCTCCTTCACTGGCTGACACTGACTCACTCACTCACTCTTCCAGTATGAGGAGATCATGGAGCAGTTCAAGGAGCTCCACAAACAGGCGGAGACTCTGCGGAACTCAGGACATACCACCGGGGAGATCCGGAAGGACATCACCAACATGGAGGACGAGAAGGAACAGCTCATCAAGCGTATCGAGAGACTTCGACGCAAGGTACCCTGAGTTGCATCCTTGCTGCCAGTATCTTAATAATTAATAGGGATGTTAATACTGAATAGGCATGTTAATACTGAATAGGAATGTTAATACTGAATAGGCATGTTAATACTGAATAGGAATGTTAATACTGAATAGGGATGTTAATACTGAATAGGCATGTTAATACTGAATAGGCATGTTAATACTGAATAGGGATGTTAATACTGAATAGGGATGTTAATACTGAATAGGCAAGTTAATACTGAATAGGCATGTTAATACTGAATAGGGATGTTAATACTGGATAGGCATGTTAATACTGAATAGGAATGTTAATACTGAATAGGGATGTCAGGGTTTCGGATTGTCATCGGCCTTCGGTCATATTCTGATAACATTTTCAAATGATCGACTACTTTCTTACTAATTAGGACACTCGGGCCGAGTAAATTGGACCTAATAAATTACGAACGTTATCATTTACGAATGCATCAAAAACTAACCACGAAATCTTGATTATGTTTCCGCAGCGTGTATGTATTCACGCATCCATTTTTATCACACTAAGCTACCAAATGTACATGTAATGGATTGCGCGATTGGCTGCTATTTTAAGCATTGGACAATCAGAAACGGGCTTTCCCGACCCCACCCGCATGTAACAATGTTTCAAGGAAATCATTAAATAAATTGAATAAACTAATGAATAAAATCAACAATAGCATTCATAAAAGTTGTCAAACGTACATATAAAACTACTATTTCCATCTTTTTGTGCGATCATGCAATGCGAGTCAAGTCACTGACAAGTGACATCTCGGCTTTCACCGCCTCAATCTTCATGCTTGGACACGATGTTTAATGCGAAAATATATGCATGAAGCATTTTTGTCACAGGTCATAACCTAGCACGATACGTCCAATAAGTTCCATAATTTACGATACATAGCAATTTACGTGCTTAATGTGTTCGAATAGCATTATTTTACCCAAAACTTTAGATAAATATAAAAGTTTTCGCCAATTTAGGGCAGTATCCATTGCCGTAATATGATTGGCTGCCTCATGTCACGCGTCTGATTTTGACCAATCACGACTCTTATAGCAGACTGTGGCGAAAAAGCGTCATTAGAAACCAATCTTTATCCAATAAAATCGCTTCTTACAACTGTGAAAATACTCTCAGCAAGGGTATAGTGATATTGTTGATGTTCAGAGCTTTCGAACGATACCCGCCATCAAACGATTCGCCTCGCATGTTATTCATACGAAGCTTCAAAAACGGAGGTATTTTCCGTTGTTGTGTTATGTTACCGAGCGGAAAGCCACTGATATCGGGAAATAGGCGACCATACATATTATTTAAGAAATCTTTATAATATATGAATAGGGATGTTAATACTGAATAGGGATGTTAATACTGTATAGGGATGTTAATACTGGATAGGAATGTTAATACTGAATAGGGATGTTAATAGGGATGTTAATACTGAATAGGAATGTTAATACTGAATAGGGATGTTAATACTGTATAGGGATGTTGATACTGAATAGGGATGTTGATACTGAATAGGGATGTTAATACTGAATAGGGATGTTAATGAATAGGGATGTTAATAATGAATAGGGATGTTAATACTGTATAGGGATGTTAATACTGAATAGGGATGTTAATACTGAATAGGGATGTTAATACTGTATAGGGATGTTGATACTGAATAGGGATGTTGATACTGAATAGGGATGTTAATACTGAATAGGGATGTTAATGAATAGGGATGTTAATAATGAATAGGGATGTTAATACTGTATAGGGATGTTAATACTGAATAGGGATGTTAATACTGTATAGGGATGTTAATACTGAATAGGGTTCCAAGCTGTGTAAGTCTATTGAACAGATTGAAAGCCATCTTAGCTCTCTGACAGTCATAAACCCTAGTTACAGTACAGCCTTTGTGATCAACTTGGTGCTCAAATGATCATAAGCTTAAGTTAAAGGTCAAGTTTACAAGAAAATTAACCTTTTTGTCTTGCACTTTTTCATCATAAAAAGTGTTTGTCAAGTTGTTTTATGGCGAAAACAGTACAGATATCAGAAGTAACTAATTTATTTTTTGCGGGAGATCCAATCACCTTAACGCTTTGACACCTGTAAACTCTGTTAAGGTATGGGGGATCCAATCACCTTAATGCTCAGACACTTGTAAACCTCTGTTAAGGTATGGGAGATCCAATCACCTTAATGCTCAGACACTTGTAAACCTCTGTTAAGGTATGGGAGATCCAATCACCTTAACGCTTTGACACCTGTAAACCTCTGTTAAGGTATGGGAGATCCAATCACCTTAATGCTCAGACACTTGTAAACCTCTGTTAAGGTATGGGAGATCCAATCACCTTAATGCTCAGACACTTGTAAACCTCTGTTAAGGTATGGGAGATCCAATCACCTTAACGCTTTGATACCTGTAAACTCTGTTAAGGTATGGGAGATCCAATCACCTTAATGCTCAGACACTTGTAAACCTCTGTTAAGGTATGGGAGATCCAATCACCTTAATGCTCAGACACTTGTAAACCTCTGTTAAGGTATGGGAGATCCAATCACCTTAACGCTTTGATACCTGTAAACTCTGTTAAGGTATGGGAGATCCAATCACCTTAATGCTCAGACACTTGTAAACCTCTGTTAAGATATGGGAGATCCAATCACCTTAATGCTCAGACACTTGTAAACCTCTGTTAAGGTATGGGAGATCCAATCACCTTAATGCTCAGACACTTGTAAACCTCTGTTAAGGTATGGGAGATCCAATCACCTTAATGCTCAGACACTTGTAAACCTCTGTTAAGGTATGGGAGATCCAATCACCTTAACGCTTTGATACCTGTAAACTCTGTTAAGGTATGGGAGATCCAATCACCTTAATGCTCAGACACTTGTAAACCTCTGTTAAGGTATGGGAGATCCAATCACCTTAATGCTCAGACACTTGTAAACCTCTGTTAAGGTATGGGAGATCCAATCACCTTAACGCTTTGACACCTGTAAACCTCTGTTAAGGTATGGGAGATCCAATCACCTTAATGCTCAGACACTTGTAAACCTCTGTTAAGGTATGGGAGATCCAATCACCTTAATGCTCAGACACTTGTAAACCTCTGTTAAGGTATGGGAGATCCAATCACCTTAATGCTCAGACACTTGTAAACCTCTGTTAAGGTATGGGAGATCCAATCACCTTAACGCTTTGACACCTGTAAACCTCTGTTAAGGTATGGGAGATCCAATCACCTTAATGCTCAGACACTTGTAAACCTCTGTTAAGGTATGGGAGATCCAATCACCTTAATGCTCAGACACTTGTAAACCTCTGTTAAGGTATGGGAGATCCAATCACCTTAACGCTTTGACACTTGTAAACCTCTGTTTCTCTGTTGAAAAGTGTTAGTTGCAATCTTTCAAGCGCTATGGACGCTTTGTGTAAGTAGGTTCTGTCCTACACAAATGTATCCAACTGCCATATTAAAGTGTGAAAGATAGTGATGGTTGTGTTGCCATGCAGGTGGAGTCCCATCCCAACTCGCAGGTGATGATGAATGTGGCCAAGAACCTGCGTCTGGAGCGAGACCGCGAGAAGAAGATTGCCGCCCAGAGACAGGAACAGCTCATGAACGTAAGTGATGAAGACGTACACCATGTCCCTGCACAGATCTTGCTGTTGATCACTGGATTGTCTGGTCCAGACTATTGTTTACAGACAGCTGCCTTATAGCTGGGACGTTGCTGAGTGCGGCGTTAAACAACAAACAAACACACCCTGCACAGACCGTACACAGACATTCTGCTTGCATATGAACCCCATCCAGAATTGGGGCTTAGAGGTGTGCTTCTCATTCGTTACAGACACCTTACCTGTCAATCACTGTCAGTGTCTTTATCAGTTTTGATCACATCCTGATCTGGGTAGTGTATTTCAGTATAGAGGTGTGTATAAGTCTCCTTGTGTCCCCAGATCCAGCACTCGGAGCAGAGGATCAAACGGATGCAGGCACAGCTACAGCAGATCAGACAGGCCGGAGTAGGAGCCACCCCAAACAGTGAGTCCATAAGTGTTGTCTGGTTCCCCGAGTAGAGCCACCCCAGACAGTTGTCCACAAGTGTTGTCTGGTTCCCCGAGTAGAGCCACCCCAGACAGTTGTCCACAAGTGTTGTCTAGTGCCCCCGAGTAGAGCCACCCCAGACAGTGAGTCCATAAGTGTTGTCTGGTTCCCCGAGTAGAGCCACCCCAGACAGTTGTCCACAAGTGTTGTCTTGTACCCCCGAGTAGAGCCACCCCAGACAGTGAGTCCACAAGTGTTGTCTGGTACCCCCGAGTAGAGCCACCCCAAACAGTGAGTCCATAAGTGTTGTCTTGTACCCTAGAGTAGAGCCACCCTAGACAGTGAGTCCACAAGTGTTGTCTGGTACCCCCGAGTAGAGCCACCCCAGACAGTGAGTCCACAAGTGTTGTCTGGTACCCCCGAGTAGAGCCACCCCAGACAGTGAATCCATAGGTGTTGTCTGGTACCCTAGAGTAGAGCCACCCCAGACAGTGAGTCCACAAGTGTTGTCTGGTACCCTAGAGTAGAACCACCCCAGACAGTGAGTCCGCAAGTGTTGTCTGGTACCCCCGAGTAGAGCCACCCCAGACAGTGAGTCCATAAGTGTTGTCTGGTTCCCCGAGTAGAGCCACCCCAGACAGTTGTCCACAAGTGTTGTCTTCTACCCCAGTAGAGCCACCACCCCAAACAGTGAGTCCACAAGTGTTGTCTGGTACCCCCGTAAAGCCACCCCAGACAGTGAGTCCACAAGTGTTGTCTGGTACCCCCTAGGTAGAGCCACCCCAAACAGTGAGTCCACAAGTGTTGTCTGGTACCCCGAGTAGAGCCACCCCAGACAGTGAGTCCACAAGTGTTGTCTGGTACCCCGAGTAAAAGCCACCCCAGACAGTGAGTCCACAAGTGTTGTCTGGTACCCCCGAGTAGAGCCACCCCAGACAGTGAGCCCACAAGTGTTGTCTGGTACCCTAGAGTAGAGCCACCCCAGACAGTGAGTCCACAAGTGTTGTCTGGTACCCCCGAGTAGAGCCACCCCAGACAGTGTGTCCACAAGTGTTGTCTGGTACCCCCGAGTAGAGCCACCCCAGACAGTGAGTCCACAAGTGTTGTCTGGTACCCCCGAGTAGAGCCACCCCAGACAGTGAGTCCACAAGTGTTGTCTGGTACCTCCGAGTAGAGCCACCCCAGACAGTGAGTCCACAAGTGTTGTCTGGTACCTCCGAGTAGAGTACCCTAGAGCAGGAGCGACCACAGACAGTTAGTCTAAAGTCCATTCTTGTACCCTAGAGTTGATCCACCCCAGACAGTGAGTCTAAAGTAAAAAGAATCAAGCCTCACTTTGACATTGTCACGGAATAGCCCTAGAGCGTCATCATCAACATCACAACACAACGCAGTATGAACATTAACAACATAAGTTTATTCGAAAGTTATTACAACACACACATCTTCACACATGAAACACACATCTTCACACTCACCATGCACACATTGAATAATCCCTTCAAATACCCCTACGCATTCACACCTACTACAGTATAGGTTTTACCAATCTCTTAACACTTTCTCAACACTCATTTCATAACACACCATCTCACATGGACAACCAGTTACTTTACATATCCGCACAACCAATTACTTTATATGCCCATGCTTCTATGTGTATACAAACACACACAAGTTACTTGATATAAGAAACTAAACCAACATATCTACACTTCTAATTACATATAATTATTATTCAATTCAATGACAACAGATCATACAGGAATTATATGATTCGTATAACCATATTCACAGTATCTGTGCCAATGCATGAATATCAAACTGATTACAATGTTCAGTTAAAGGATAGTACTATTAAATGTCCGTTCATGTCATACACATGACGGTTACACAGGAGTCAGAGATGCGTCGTCATCTATGCCTCTGTCGCTGGATCCTCTCCAGGTGTGGTACATAGTCTAGTGTAAGAAGGGTATTTGATTCCGTCGGCAACCGGCTTGAACATCCCAGGGTTACGAACACACGACCTGGTCAAGGTCAAGGCTTCCATGGGACATCGTCTTCACACCGTCACGAAGCGCCCTCTACTTTTTCAAGTCGCCATAATGCACCCATTACGGGCTAGGTCTGCTCACATACGACGCTCCCTCTACTGAGTTGTTGTGATGACTTCGCACATACACGCCCATCCATAGGCTTTTGCTGTAACATTTGGGGTGAATACTAAATACCCAGCACTACATTTCACTATATTACTACACTATAGTGCTTACACTCCGAAACTATACAAACACTTCCTTAACATTCACGATAACTACAAATTACACGAATTGTAGCATAACGCTGACATTCAATTCACACAATGCAAATCATACAATTTTTCCTTATCCTGACTCATGCTCTTTTTGCTTGTCTTCTTCTTCTTGCGAACATAGTGGAACACTTGTATCTCCCTAATTGAAGCTCCCTTCAATTTAAAATCACTAATTAGTATTCACCACGAGTTACCTCCTTTCCACAAGCGCGGGAACGAGGGCGCCACCTCTACCCATGTGCCTCACTCTCTCCTTCTTCGCCCAGTGAGCTGGACGTGAGAGCGCCTGTGTCTCCCGACACACTATATCCTTTGATTATATTTAGTTAGTTACCTCGTATAGACATCTATAGAGGTTTAGCTAGTATCCTTCAACGATTATATATTGATATTTAGTCGCTTTTCTACAGTTTATTCACGGGGACCGTGTTTGTTTCAGTGGATTACGCTGATGAAAATTCTGTACTATTGCAGATTACGTTTTTTATGCTGCTGCTGATCCACCTTTAATATGATGTACGGCGCCATGTTTATTATATTCACATTGCAGTTGCGGTACTAATTCATCCAATTCTACCTTTTTATTAATATTTACTTTGCGTTTGGCACGCACAGCAGATAGGTCGCGTATGCAGAGTCTAGTATGACTGATACACGGAACCCCTCGCCAGTCTACTGCTGTTGGCCGACTCCCCTCCCGTGTGGTGTTCCGCTAGAGTGGTGGAGAGGTGTGGGGCGAGTCCGCCATCTCCAAGAAGCATTCTGCTTCCCCAGACATCCCATCGCCGCAGCAGAAGACTAGAGGGTTTTTCTACTACATCTCAACAACCGAGACCGTTCCCATCGAAGTTTGGGCCTGTATGATGATCAGCCGGTCATCATACCGGATGTACATCAAAGATTGACCGATGTCGGCACAGATCAGCATGCAGCCTGATGTACCAACGCAGATATGCGATGATCGTCCTGAGGGTCCCATCATTACCAACACTCAACGCAGACGTCGCACACCCAGGGCAGCGTCGACCTCTGAGGGAAAATCAACGAAGTCTACTAGGACTTTCTCAACCGAGATTGTTCCAGCCGATGACCTGGACTCTCACGATGATCAGCTGATCATCATCCCGACGTGACGCCACAAGAAACGACCGGGGACAGCTACAACGACATCAGCAGAGATCACCATGCAGCCTGATGCCTCTACACTGATGTCGGACGATTTTCGGTGGACCCTCCATTAACACCGCAGATAAAGCACCGACGACCTCGTGCAGAGACCATCCCAGAAGACATGATGCGACAAATTATGAACATCATGGAGGACCAATATCTGCGGTAGCAGGGTCCGAGCCTTCGCGAAGGCTCCAACGTAGACAGCACCCCAGAGGCACCCCAGAGGCACCCCCCGTCAACGTAGCAGCCAGAACGATGTCACCTTCGCGAAGGAAGTCACGGACCACCTTGACGGAAGGACCTAGATGTACAGCCTTCGCTGCGAAGGCCTTCGGCGGAAAGGACCTAGATGTACAGCCTTCGCGAAGCGCGGAAAGAACCTAGATGTACAGCCGCCGAAGGACTTCGCGAAGGCAGGATAGATCATCACCTTATGCGGTTTCATCCCTAGATGTGGACTCGGACCATCAGACATCACGGAAGCCTTCGCGAAGGTCATATCGCCGTTCCCCGGACCGACGCAGAGGAAGCTTCAGCAAGGCATGCGCCAAGGACACCTGAATCCAGATCATCATCATCTAGAAGGACATCGAGGGACTATACAAGAGCTTCAGCGAAAACTCATCAACGCCCTCACACAAGTCTCCTCGAGAAGATCAACCCATAGACAAGTTGATCATCGATATCAAGTATAAGAACTACAATCGATATTGGTTCTGTTGAATCCATGACGAGACGTGATGTTCGCTGGCCTAAATAGATCTAGAACGATCAATTAGACACTTATCACCAGACTTCGTAACACGACTTCTGAATATGATAAGATGATCCATGCGGCCCTACTTAGGCAAGCGCTTCGCCGATCCCACATCCTGTTAAACACAGAGGCTGTTCACGAAACAAGCGCTCATATATATATTTATATATATATATATATACTAATCGGGCTTTGACTCGACACCTTCGCGATGGTCGCGAAGGCTAAGTGGCTCCAAGTCTACTTCACCCAGAAGATCTAGAAGGGATACTTCGAGAACTTCGCCAAGGTTTCCATATACTAGCCACTCGTCATATATAGCTACTCGTCAGTCCGTTCAAGACGTCGCATAAGTTGATTATCAACTGTATGCCAGATGCCGTCTATAAGCCTACGCGAAGATAATTGCTCAGGCTATTTACAACACAGAACGTCGCTGTATTATTAGTCAACGACATTTCATAGATCTTCACAGAAATCAACTATTCCGTATAAATTGCTAATATACAATCCCGGACGACGATACGATTATCTACATGCGTGACCATTACGCATATCTGCAGACAATTCAATATCGAAATTGAACAGCAGCCTTGTTACAGCCAGTATAACTCTTAATCGTCAAAGTTTCTGAGAAGAAATATGTACAACAAGTTCAACGCTAATTCTACAATTATGACGATACATTCATGTATACAGTCTACAAGCTCACAACTTGCAAGTTGTTTATACCCTTATATATAAGGAAGT